TATGCAAGAGCCATAGGTTTCCAGCTATTCTCACATTTAGTTTGAGAAACTTCAGAGGGTTACGTTAAAATTGCTGAAAAGCGGCCAGGTGTGGTGGCTCACGGCTGTAATCCCAGCACTGTGGGAGGCCGAAGCGGGCGGATCATGAGGTCAGGAGATCGAGACCATCCTGGCGAACACGGTGAAACCCTGTCTCTACCAAAAATACAAAAAAATTAGCCAGGAGAGGTGGCGGGTGCCTGTAGTCCCATCTACTCCGGAGGCTTAGGCAGGAGAATGGCATGAACCCGGGGGGGTGGAGCTTGCAGTGAGCGGACATCACGCCACTGCACTCCAGCCTGGGTGACAGGGCGAGACTCCGTCTCAAAAAAAAAAAAAAAAAATTGCCGAAAAGAACACATGCTCCTTTCCCGTTGCTACTGCCATCTCCACCAGCCTGATTCCCCCTGTTAAATGACAGCACTGTGAAAAATTCCTGGGATTAAGCTAGGGTAAACAGATTCCACTGTCAGTATCTAAAAGCAAATAGGAGGAGTGCTCCCCAGAAGTATCCAGCTATAAGACCTGCATGCTGCTATTGCTCAGTAATAAAAAATGATAAATGGGTGATGCCACTTTGTCTCAGTGGGACTGGATAAATGTAATGAACAACGCTATATTTTTCCCAATCTCTCCTTTTTAGAAGAGAGTGGTGAAGAAATGGTAGATGTACAAGGCACACCAGATAGCCTTAGTGAACAGCTCCAAATATCTCATCCTGTCTGTGGCCTCTCTCATCCCAATCTGAGGGTTTGTGGGAGTTTTTCATCCTCATAATGCTGAAGCCAAACCTCCATGCTCGCATTTTCCCAATTGTCTCCAAAATCATCAATAGTCTGAACATATTTTCCAAAACAAAGTTAATTTTAATGAACTTAATATTTCTAAAAATGTGTGTCAAAGAATTCCAGTTTTGGCAAAGGGTGACTAGTTGGTCTTTTTCAGACATCTTGCTGATAATGATTACAAATGCTGAACAAATTAGCACTTTTTAAAAACACCAATTTGGAGGTATAGAAGAACTATCAAAGCAGTGAGAATTTGCTAGTTCAAGATCTGGAGAAAAAGAGAAGTCAAGAAAGGTGAGACTGGTATTTGGGGACACTTTAACCTGAAGATAATTGCTGATTCCAAAAGCAAAAGTAGCGCTGAGAGGCTGGAAAGAGCTTTCGGCAGGTTCCCAGCCAGGACTGATGAGACAAAAATTGTAGTAAAGTACCTGAAAAGGAGGAAGGGTCCTGGTAAATATCCCCAGGATTTCTTTTTCTTTTTTTCTTTTTTTTGAGATGGAATCTCACTCTGTCCCCCAGGCTGGAGTACAGTGGCGAGATCTCGGCTCACTGCAACCTACACCTCCCAGGTTCAAGCGATTCTCCTGCCTCAGCCTCCTGAGTATCTGGGACTACAGTCACCCACCACCACGCCCAGCTAATTTTTGTATTTTTTTTGTAGAGATGGGGTTTCGTCATATTGCCCAGGCTGGTCTTGAACTCTTGGGTTCAAATGATCCACCTGCCTCGGCCTCTCAAAGTGTTTGGATTATCGGTGTGAGCCACCACGCCCAGCCTCTCCAGGCTTTCAGCTGGGACCATGAAGCCTCCACTCTAGGGATAAGGGCAAACCGGGAATAGACCAGCTCTCAAAAAGCCCAGCTTTGACTTCCTCAGACACTTATTAGATGAAAGTTTCAGCCTCTAGCCTGTTCGCTTGACAGAAACAAAAGGAAACCCTTCTGGAGAGAGGTAACATCATATAGAACCTCACTCATCTCTAGAGCTCAACAGGCTTTTTTGAAGAAATTGACAACATGGTTCTAAAATTTATATGGAAATGCAAAGGACCTAGAATAATCAAAACAATATTGAAAAAAGAACAAATTTAGAATATTTATACTCACAAGCTCAAGATTTGCCATAAAGCTAGAGTAGACAGACACAGATTAATGGAACAGGATCAAGTCCAAAAATAGATCTACACATATATAGTCAACTGATTATCAACCAAGGCATCAAATCAATTCAATGAGGCAAAGGAATGCCTATTTAACAGATGTGTGAAAAAACTAGGTATCTCTATGGAAAGACAACTCTGACTCCTATGGCATTCCATACAAAAAATTAATTCAAGATGGATCGTAGACCTACATTAAAAACTAGAACCATAAAACTTCTAGAAGTGTATCTTTGTGACTATGGAGTAGATGGAACTTTCATAGGTAGAATATAAAATGTACTAGCCATAAAAGTAAAAATAAAATATTGGACTTCAAGAAAATTAAATTTTTTGCTTATCATAAGACACCATTTTGAAAGGAATAAGTAAGAAATAGACAGGAGACGGCCCCAGCCCGCGGGCTAACGCCGGCACTCTCCATGAGACTGCTGGCGCCAGCGCCTGCCAGCGCTGCACCAGCCTGGGGAGCTCGCTTCGCGCTCACTCAGCGGCGACCGCGGCGGTGTTAGCCGCTCTTGCGCTCTTTCCTTTCCTGGGGCGCCCACCCTGCCCGCTTGCTTGCTTGCCAGCCTGCCTGCCTGCCTGCCCGGCGTCACGCAAGAGAAGGTGCCAGGGGACGCGGAGCGACGAGGGGCGCGCAGTCCCGGCCAGCTCTGTCTCTGGCGTTGGCGCTGCGGCCGTGGCGAGGACTGAGGTGACAAGGCCGAGGGCCGCTGTCCGTGCTCTCTGCGTGCCGCTCCGCTGGCTGACCATCTGGAGTGCAGGCTGGGAGGCCAGATGGAGTGATAAGGAAGATGTTTACGAATTCCTCGGTAGGATCAGAGGGCAAGCCTATTATAACCAGAAGACTCCAAGTGTAGCAGCAAGGACGGATGAACAGGCTCTATTAGAGCTAAATCCAAATGCTGATTCAGACTTTAGATAAAGGGCCCTGGCCTATTTTGAGCAGTTAAAGATTTCCCCAGATGCCTAGCAGGTGTGTGCTGAAGCTCTAGCCCAGAGGACGTATAGTGATGATCATGTAAAGTTTTTCTGCTTTCAAGTACTGGAACATCAAGTTAAATAGAAATATTCAGAACTAACCACTGTTCAACAACAACTAATTAGGGAGACGCTCATACCACAGCTGCAAGCTCAGAAGCTGAATCCCCAACCAGAGAAGACCTTCATACGAAATAAAGCCGCCCAGGTCTTCGCCTTGCTTTTTGTTAACAGAATATCTCACTAAGTGGCCCAAGTTTGTTTTTTTTTCTTTTTACATTCTCTCAGTAGTGGATCTAAATCCAAGGGGAGTAGATCTGTACCTGCGAATCCTCATGGCTATTGATTCAGAGTTGTTGGATCGTGATGTGGTGCATGCATACATCAGAGGAGGCTCGTAGGAATACGCTCATAAAAGATACCATGAGGGAATAGTGCATTCCAAATCTGGTGGAATCATGGTACCAAATACTACAAAATTATCAGTGTACTAATTCTGAAGTGACATATCAGTGCCTTGAAGTAGTGGGGACTTATGTCTCTTGGATAGACTCATCCCTTATAGCCAATGATAGGTTTATAAATATGCGGCTAGGTCAGATGTCAGTAGAAGTTCTATGGGAAGAAGCATGTGACTGTTTATTTGAAGTTGTAAATAAAGGAATGGACCCTATTGATAAAATGAAACTAGTAGAATCTTTGTATCAAGTATTACAGTCCGCTGGGTTTTTCAGCATTGACCAGGAAGATGTTGACTTCCTGGCCAGATTTTCTAAGCTGGTAAATGGAATGGGACAGTCATTGATAGTTAGTCGGAGTAAATTAGTTAAGAATGGGGATATTAAGAATACTCAAGAGGCACTACAAGCTATTGAAACAGAAGTGGCACTGATGTTAGCTACTAATTCATGAGGATGATGATATTTCTTCTAATATTATTGGATTTTGTTATGATTATCTTCATATTTTGAAACAGCTTACAGTGCTCTCGGATCAGCAAAAAGCTAATGTAGAGGCAATCATGTTGGCCGTTATGAAAAAAGTTGACTTACGGTGAAGAATATAACTTTGAAAATGAAGGTGAAGATGAAGCCATGTTTGTAGAATATAGAAAACGACTGAAGTTACTGTTGGACGGGCTTGCTCAAGTTTCACCAGTTACTGCTGGCCTCTGTTCACAGAGTTTTTAGTTCTACACTGCAGAATTGGCAGACTACACGGTTTATGGAAGTTGAAGTAGCAATAAGATTGCTGTATATGTTGGCAGAAGCTCTTCCAGTATCTCATGGTGCTCACTTCTCAGGTGATGTTTCAAAAGCTAGTGGTTTGCAGGATATGATGTGAACTCTGGTAACATCAGGAATCAGTTCCTATCAGCATACATCTGTGATTTGGAGTTCTTCGAAACTGTTAGACATGAAAGTTTTTCATAGCTGAACCTCAGCACATTCCATGTGTACTAATGGCTTTCTTAGATCACAGAGGTCTGCGGCATTCCAGTGCAAAAGTTCAGAGCAGGACGGCTTACCTGTTTTCTAGATTTGTCAGATCTCTCAATAAGCAAATGAATCCTTTCATTGAGGATATTTTGAATAGAATACAAGATTTATTAGAGCTTTCTCCGCCTGAGAATGGCCACCAGTCCTTACTGAGCAGCGATGATCAGCTTTTTATTTATGAGACAGCTGGAATGCTGATTTTTTTTTTTTTTTTTTTTTTTGAGACGGAGTCTCGGTCTGTCGCCCAGGCTGGAGTGCAGTAGCCGGATCTCAGCTCACTGCAAGCTCCGCCTCCTGGGTTCACGCCATTCTCCTGCCTCAGCCTCCCGAGTAGCTGGGACTACAGGCGCCTGCCACCTTGCCCGGCTAGTTTTTTGTATTTTTTAGTAGAGACGGGGTTTCACCATGTTAGCCAGGATGGTCTCGATCTCCTGACCTCGTGATCCACCCGTCTCGGCCTCCCAAAGTGCTGGGATTACAGGCTTGAGCCACCGCGCCTGGCCAAGAATGCTGATTGTTAATAGTGATACTCAGCAGAATGGAGACAAGCCTTAATGAGTAATCTGTTGACTCCACTAATGGAAAAGTTTAAAATTCTGTTAGAAAAGTTGATGCTGGCACAAGATGAAGAAAGGCAAGCCTCTCTAGCAGACTGTCTCAACCATGCTGTTGGATTTGCAAGTCGAACCAGTAACGCTTTCAGCAACAAGCAGACTGTGAAACAATGTGGCCATTCCGAAGTTTATCTGAACTGTTTACAGACATTCTTGCCGGACCTCGGTTGTCCCTTACACAAGGGTATTCTCAGAAGTGGAGTACGTACTTTCCTTTATCGAATGATTGTTTGCCCGGAGGAAGAAGTTCTTCCTTTCATCCCATCTGCTTCAGAACATATGCTCAAAGATTGTGAAGCAGAAGACCTCCAGGAGTTCATTCCTCTTATCAACCAGATTACGGACAAATTCAAGACACAGGTATCCCCGTTTTTACGACAGATGTTCATGCCCCTGCTTCATGCAGTTTTTGAAGTGCTGCTCCGGCCAGCGGAAGAAAATGACCAGTCTGCTGCTTTAGAGAAGCAGATGTTGCGAAGGAGTTACTTTGCTTTCCTGTGAACAGTCCCAGGCAGTGGGATGCGCGAAGTTATAGCAAATCAAGGTGCAGAGAATGTAGAAAAGTGCTGGTTACTGTTATCCAAGGAGCAGTTGAATATCCAGATCCAACTGCACAGAAAACATGTTTTATTGTCCTCTCAAAGTTGGAAGAACTCTGGGGAGGTAAAGATGGACCAGTGGGATTTGCTGATTTTGTTTATAAGCACATTGTCCCTGCATGTGTCCTAGCACCTTTAAAACAAACCTTTGACCTGGCAGATGCACCAACAGTATTGGCTTTATCTGAGTGTGCAGTGACACTGAAAACAATTCATCTCAAACGAGGCCCAGAATGTGTTCAGTATCTTCAACAAGAATACCTGCCCTCCTTGCAAGCGGTTCCAGAAATAATTCAGGAGTTTTGTCAAGCACTTCAGCAGTCTGATGCTAAAGTTTTTAAAAATTACTTAAGGCCGGGCATGGTGGCTCACACCTGTAATCCCAGCACTTTGGGAGGCTGAGGCGGGTGGATCACGAGGTCAGGAGATCAAGACCATCCTGGCTAACATGGTGAACCCCATCTCTATTAAATATACAAAAAATTAGCCGGGCGTGGTAGCGGGCGCTTATAGTCCCCAGCTACTCGGGAGGCTGAGGCAGGAGAATGGCATGAGCCCAGGGGGCAGAGCTTGCAGTGAGCCGAGATTGCGCCACTGTACTCCAGGGTGGGTGACAGAGTGAGACTCTGTCTCAAAAAGAAAAAAAAAAAGAAAAAAAATTACTTAAAGGTGTTCTTCCAGAGAGCAAAGCCTTAAGGACTGGATTTCCCTGTGTCTACTTCCTGATGAGGAATCCCAGTTAATTTATAAAGAAGCGATTTTTGTGTGTCATTCACACTGGTCTTTTTCACATTGTTTTGAGCTTATTGCAGTATATGTTTTGGGATTTTTCTGTCAAATGGGTGTAATTTTCCTAATACAGCTATGAAACAACAAAAGAAGTTGCCTGCATGCCAGTCCAAATTGTTCTGTATAAAGATGCTCTTAAAAGACACAAGAGTTATCCTAGAACCTTAATTCTTTTTTATTTGAAAATTTAAGTAAAGTCCTTTATAAAGACCACAGCAGTGGAAAACTGTACTTTTTAAAAAATTGCTGAATATTAAATGTTTGAAAATTTTCTTTATGTGTGAAGACACATAATGTATGCGGGGAATATAACAAACAAAACTAAGTTCTTATAGATAGCCATTTCATTTGTTTAAACTGTTTCAATGCCAATATGTAGTCTACAAAAGAGAATGGTTTTAGGCTCCAGTGTTATACTTTTTTATATATATAAATTTTACATAGTGAAATCTAAAAAAAAAAAAAAAGAAAGAAATGGGAGAAAGTTCCTCTAATATATGTATCTGGCAAAAGAGCATAGAGCATATAAACAACAAGTCAATAATAAAACATAAATGGGCCAGCTGAAAAATGAGCAAAAGACTTGGACACTTCACAAAACATAAACAAATGGTCAATAAGGATATGAAAAAAAAAATGCCAGTCTTCTTAGTCATAAGACAAATGCAAATTAAAACCTCAATACGATACCACTAGACTGGCTAAAATATAAAAGGCAAACAATACCAAATATTGGCAAAGATGTAAAGCAACCAGAACTCTCATAGGAACATAAAATGGTACAAGGGCTTTTTAGTGTGTTTTGTTTGGAGACAGGCTCTTGCTGTGTCACCCAGGCTGGAGTACAGTAGCATGATCATAGCTCACTGTAACCTTAATCTCCTGGGCTCAACTGATCCTCTCACCTCAGCCACCTGAGTAGCTAGGCCTACAGGTGCACATCACCTTATCTGGCTATTTTTTCTTTTTATAGAGATGGGGTCTTGCTATGTTGCCCAGGCTGGTCTTGAATGGCAGTTTCTTATACAGTTAAATATACACCTATCCTACGGTCAGCAATTTCATTCCTACATACCTACCCAAGAGAAACAAAATATATGTCCATAAAAATACTTAAACAATAATATTCACAGAAACACTATTCATAATAGCTCAAAACTGGAAACAATCTAAATGATTATCAATAGGAAAATGGATAAATAAATGGTGGTATACAATGAAATATTATAACTGATAAGAATGAACTACTGATATAAGTAACAACATGGATGAATTTCAAAAGCATTATGTTGAGTAAAATGAGACAGATCACAATAATACATAATGTATGTTTCCATTTATATTAAGTTCTAGAACAAGCAAAACTATCCATTTTAGTCCTTTCAGTATTGCTATAGCAGAATATCCAAGACTGAGTAATTTATAAAGAAAATAAGTTTATTTATTTTTATTTTACTTACAAATTTTGTTTTCATGTAAGAAAAGATGTTTATTTAGCTCACAGTTCTGCAGGCAGGGAAGTTCAAGGACATGGCCCTGAATTCTGGCAAGGATTTTTGTGCTGTGTCATAACTTGATAGAGAAAGTCAAAGGGGAAGCAGACATGTATGAAGACAGAGAAAATCTTTTTATTTTTTTGAGATGGAGTTTCGCTCTTGTCGCCCAGGTTGAAGGTTGCTCACTGCAACCTCTGCTCACTGCAACCTCCACCTCCCAGGTTCAAGTGATTCTCCTGCCTCAGCCTCATCAGAATTGCTGTTGCTGTCCATTTGTCTAACAACATTCTGATCAAAACCACTTGGGTAATTGCTAAGAAGTTTCAGACTTTTTAGTCTGAAACTTTTTTTCAGTTTATAGCTATCCTCTTTTTCTGAACCCTCAGCAGAATTGCCCTTAATGTTCTGTTCATGGCAATACAGACTTTTTCAGTATTCACTTCAAAACTGTCCCAGTCTCTACCTATGACTCAATTCCAAAGCCACTTTCACATTTTTCAGGTGTTGGTTGTAGCAGCACTCCACTCTCTGGCATCAACTTTCTGTCTTAGACTGTTTTGTGCTGCTATAAAAGAATACCACAGACTAGGTAATTTATAATGAAAAGAAAGTTATTAGTTCACAGTTCTGGAGGCTGGCAAGTCCAAGATAGAAGGGCTGGCATCTGGTGAGGGACTTTTTGCTATGTCATAACATGGTAGAAGGCATCACATGGCAGAAAGATAAAGAAATGATGGAGGAGAAGGAGCAAGAAGGATGAACCCACCTTGCAATAATGATAGCAGCATTAGTCTATTCACAAGGGTGGAGCCCTCATGGCCTAATCACCTCTTAAAGGTCTCACCTCTTGACACTGTTACAATGGCAACTAAGTTTAAAGTGGGTTTTGGAGGGCATAAACATTCTAGGAGGATTCTTGCTTATAGTAGTATGTCAAGTGCTGACTGGTAAGGCCTACACTCACTCAAAAGCAGTGCTGGAGTTGGAAAATCTTAATTTTGCAACCATCATAGTAAGGATTGATTCAAGTAAGAATCATCAATAGATGCAAGATATATGTATCTTCTTAAACTATTTCCCCTACAGATTGCTTATTAGTTCTAAGGGTAAAGTATGGAAATATCTCAGTGGAGTGATCAAAATTAATAAGGCCAGGTGGGAAAACATCAGATAAACTCAAAATTAAAAGAATGCTATTGCTGGGCACAGTGACTCACACCTATAATCCCAACACTTTGGGAGGGCGAGGCAGGTGGATCACGAGGTCAGCAGATCGAGACCATCCTGGCTAACATGGCAAAACTCCCTCTCTACTAAAAATACAAAAAATTAGCCGGGCATGGTGGCAGGTGCCTGTAGTCCCAGCTACTCAGGAGGCTGAGGCAGGAGAATGGCGTGAACCCGGGAGGCAGAGCTTGCAGTGAGTTGAGATTGCACCACTGCACAACAGCCGGGGAAAAAAAAAAAAACTATAAAAAAAAAAAAAAAAAAAAAAAAAAAAAGAATTCTATCACACAAAAGAATTGTTTTTTCCTGAAAAACGTCGATGTCATAAAAGACAAAGAATAGCTAAGGAACTGCTCCAGATTAAAGGAGACTGTAATGAAGGAAAATAAATACTATATAAGACAATATTGGGTTAATTGTTAAAATTGTAAAATAGACAGTAGCTAATGTACTGCATCAATATTAAAATATACTAAATAAGTTTATAGAAGTGACAACTGTATCATGGTTACTCATGATAATATTCTTATTCTTTGGAAATTCACAATGAAATATTTAGTAGAAAAGGGTCATAATATATATGTATGAAATTTACTCTCAAATTGTATGTGTAAAAAAAATTGTGTGAGTGTGCATGCATGTGTGTGCACATTTGAAGAAAGAGAGAGTGAACACACAAGCACAAAATAATAAAGCAAATGAGACAAAGTATTAACAATCAGAGACTAGGTGTATGGGAGTTTGTGCAATTTTTCTTACTAGTCTTGCAACTTTTCTTTAAGTTTTGAAATTATTTACAAATAAAAATTTAAAGAATAATCTATTAGGGAGTTTAATAGTAAATTAGACTCAGCTTAAAGCAAAATTGGTGAAATGAAAGAAAATTCAGAAGAAAATACACAGACTTAAACATGGAGTTACAAAATGATGAAAAATACAGAAAAGAATGTAAAAGTCATATAGGACATAGTAAGCAGTTATAATCTTAGAGGGATAAGAGAGAGAAAATGGGACACAAGCAATATTTGAGAAGACAATTACTGAGAATGTACCAAAGCTTTATATACTTGATATCTTTATCTGGTTACAGATTTAAGAAATGTCACAAAGCCCAAGCAGGATAAATGTACACCTAGGCATATGACTGTAAATCTATAAAAAGCTAAAGACTTAGAGAAAAATCTTAGAAGTAGCACAAGAAAAAAAACCAGTTTACTTGCAAAAGATCAAAAAGCAAGACTGACTGCTAATTTCTCAAAGGAAACAACATAAGTCAGAAAACAATGGAATGATATATTCAAAATGAAAGAAAATAACTAAGTTAGGATTCTACATTCAGCAAAAACATTTTTTCATAAATGAACGTGGAAATAAAGACAATTTCAGACAAATAATACCTGAGAAAAATTTGTCACCCATAGACCCATATTAAAAGACATGCTAAATGGTATTTTTTAGGCAAAAAGAAAATGATCTCAATGGAAGCACAAAACTGAAAAAAGAAATATAGAACAACATTAAGTTAACAAAAGTGGATAAATCTTAATTAATGATGATTGTATAAAACAACAGCACTGACAACAATAATAACAACATTTTGTAGAACTTAAAATATATATAAAATGAAAATATATGGCAATGAGGCTGGGCACGGTGGCTCACGTCTGTAATCCCAGCACTTTGGGAGACCAAGGTGGGTAGATCATCTGAGGTCAGGAGTTCGAGACCAGCCTGGCCAACATGGTGAAACCCTGTCTCCACTAAAAATACAAAAATTAGCTAGGCATGGTGGCACAGGCCTGTAGTCCCAGCTACTCAGGAGGCTGAGGCAGGAGA